TGAAGCAGTAATGCGTTTCGGTTTGAAGGGCGGGGCAGCCGTTGTAACTATACTGAAACCTTAGAACTTATATCTCAAGGTGGTTGACAGCATTTACGTTGTAGACGTCTATGAGCTCCAGTAACCACTTAACACCAGGTGGGCCGTGAGCTCGTCCACACATCTAAGCAATAAAAAATAAAAAATAAAATAGATATTCATATTTCTCCAAATTTTAATTAAAACATCACGTAATTAAAACTACTTTTACGGTTTGATGTCGCGTTTTTTATTGTCTTTATATTATTTCTGACTTTTCGAATACTGTACTAATGACTAACGTTGCTTAAGAAGAGAAAACTTATAGTGTCATAATATAGGAGTAGATTGGAAACGATACTGCTAAGGCTTCTAGTAATATAAAAATTTGATCATAAGTGGCACAACATTAAAATGTTCAGTAATGACTATTAACTATAGTTAATATAGAAACGTCGGAAATAATAAATTTAAACAAATAAACTCGAGAACACATAGTAATAGTGCTTATAATTATGTCAGACTTGTGAAGGTCGGAGGATATACTACAGGTTTAAAATACGCAGCTAGTCTCCAATAATCAGTGCTACAAATTATATTGTATAGAAGTAAATTCATTAGTTCAAAGAAATGAACGAGAATGAATGTTTATAGGTGATATGTTCAGTCAAAATAAATCAGTGACTGTTAATGACCGGTGTAGGCTAAAATTTGTGCTCTACTTAGGAACAGTCGTACTGTTTAGAACCGACCTATAAGGGTCCAGTGCTCAGAAAAGCCAGATCTGTCTCTTCTAGTCCATCTATAGTTATAGTTAATATTATAAAGAGGAAAGGTTTGTTTCTTTGTATTGAATAGGCTCCGAAACTAATGAACCGATTTGAAAAATTCTTTCACTGTTTCGAAGTTACACTATTCCCAAGTGACATAGGCTATAATATTTTTAGAAAAAAAAAGGGATCTTTACTAAAAATCCAATAATGTAACCCAAGGTTTAAAAAAAAATACCTAAAATATCCTTTACATCGCGTGCCCTGCGAAAACTATTGATGATAGAATAAAATAATGTACTACGACTTCGTAGAACACATTATTATTAACAAAAAGTGTCGCGACAGCATATGTCTAATTATTATAGTTAGGTCGCAAAAAGTGTTCTTTTATTTAAAAAAATAAAACAACGTCGTTGAAATTTTTGTTAGAGACCCGAGCGGAGCCGGAGCGGGCTGCTAGTCATTAATATACGTTCTGATTATATGAATAAGAGCAGTCAAGAAAAGCCTTAAGTATCTTGAAGATTCGCAGAAACGGTAAAGGTAAAGTCATCACGATTTCAAAGCTTCTGTGATGGCTTACTTAAATAAACTCTTTGACTTTCACAACGCAGAGAGAAAGAAATTGACCTACACCAGTGGTTAAACAAAAACATCTGACCTTTATTGGAGGTGCTATAAATATGTCTATGTTGAAGATGCTCTGCATAGTCGATCATTGTTAGAAAATGACTTTTTTATTTCTTTATTGCTTAGATGGGTGGACGAGCTCACAGCCCAAATGGTTTTAAGTGGTTACTCTAGCCCATAGACATTTACAACGTTAATGCGCCACCCACCTTGAGATATAAGTTCTAAGATCTCAGTATAGTTACAACGGCTGCCCTACCCTTCAAACCGAAACGCATTACTGCTTCACGGCAGAAATAGGTAGGGCGGTGGTACCTACCCGCGCGGACTCCCAAGAGGTCCTACCACCAGTAAATTATTGCCTAAGTGTGCTTTTATTACAAACAATATCATTATTTTAAATTTTTACGTATGCAATTCTGTTATTAGATTTTAAGACATAATGTAATAAAGAAAAATCAAAGTTTATATATTTAAGGAGCGACTAAATCTTAATATAAGTAAACAATTGAATTTTTGTACAAAATTTTCCCCCATTACAGCCCATAAATATCTACAACGTAAATGCGCCACCCACCTTGAGATATAAGTTCTAAGGTCTCAAGTATAGTTATGTAGCAATAACACATATTGTATTATTATATTTACAAAACGCAACCCGAAACAAAAATACTGTTAAATTAACTAGTGATTATTTCAACCCATTAAATCCAACTCTTTAGAGTAAAAAACTTAACTGTTATAGTCACTAGATAGTAACATTCAATATTGTTGATGTATTAAAAAAAACATATCAACTAATGGACACATTAAACTCTGTAAGTCGTGTGTGTATATAAAATATATATGAAAGACATGTATAATGTGCAAAGGGAATATTTTTTACTGTAGTTCTTTGTAGAAAGTCAGATAACAAATTACTATTAAATGTAGTTTTAATCGATACAGGACAAAGAAATGATTCTTTGAATAATTCTTAACATGAAACTTGTTTACCATATCAATCAACGTTTAAAATTGCTTTTCGGAATAAACCACTACAAGTAGGACAAAGATATTTGAAATTGCAACATAACGGCATAGTAATGAGAGATCGCTGATTACCTATATCTTTTCGAAACAAATATGTAGCGGTAATTATCATGAGAAATAAGACATTTAACAAAAACCTGAATCGCGCTAAAGACATTTATAAGATTTGTCTTCTTCTTCTTCCTAATCGGATACTCTTGGCAGTTGTCGTGGCTGCCTATACAAAGATCCAAATAAGATTCTAGGTAACATTGGAGCAATTACGCCGGTGGAAGATCTGTTCAATGTGATTTACTCGAATCGAAAATCTTTAAGGCAAAAATAAATGGTAAAGTTTTTATTTTAAATTTGGACAGTACCTACACAAGAAGCTTAAGAAAAATTCGAATGTTGAAGAATTTTCACCAAATTGACTTAGTACATAAGTAATTCGAAATTCAACGTAAATATATCGAAAGAATAAAGAAATCTTCCTCATATCTCCATCTTATCACACTAGGTGCCGACCCTACAGCGAACTTTTTTATTCCATTCTCTTCATCATCTCAACACTCTCTCTCTCATATTCATACATTCCGCCCTTGTCTTCTTCGATCAAACTCTTACCCCTCTACCTTGCACTAACATTTCCATACATGTCCAAGTCACATTCATCTCCTCTCCACGTATCACATATCCATTTCACGCTAACGGAAGCACAAAGAAATTGCAAATTGTATTTCGCCCATAAATATAATAATGCACAGGCAGCTTCATTACACCATAACGAATAATATTATTACATAAAATCATTTTCCTCATAATAAAAAACAAACAAGAATTAACCATATCATTGAAATACATAAGGTCTTTATTCAAGTGTACATAAGGTCTTTATTCAAGTGACATACACTGGATCACTATTGGATTGCGGAAACTATCATTTTTTGACAACGGATAGGAAGGTTATTTGAGTCACTGAGCCATTCTAGTAGGAAGTACATAAACCTCCCCCTTAGTGGGATACTCTTGGCAAAGTAGTGGTGACAGTCGATGGACAGGGTTGCCTAATAATATCACGTATTTACGAGGGTGGTGGCGGATAATCCAGATTGGTACGTACTAGCATCGTGCCATTTTTACCGTGAAACAAATTGGCATCGCAGTTTGGAACATGACGCGGGCACGCGTTGGAGCACAAAGTAAAGCTTTGACCTCAAGTTTAATGGTGGCATTCACGTTCTCATGTCTACGGGCTTTGATAACCACGTAACACTAGACGTACTAACTTAACCATCTATACAATCTCTAGATATAAAAATGAATTGCTGTTCGTTAGTCTCGCTAACTCGAGAACGGCTGGACCGATTTGGCTAATTTTGGTCTTGAATTATTTGAGGAAGTCCAGGGAAGGTTTAAAAGGTAGATTTTTGTTTTTACTTTGATGTGTCCCCCGTCGGATGGATTCCTTTTGTTTGTTTTAAGTTTATTTTATACAAAAGTTTAGGTCTTTTAATTATCGATTGAGGCACTACGAAGTCTGCCGGCTCAGCTAGTAAATAAATAAAAATAGCGGTTGCTTCGGTTGTGGATCGCTTGTGTCAATTGTCTGTCTTATGTTACTAAATCTCCAATCCGCCTTTTGCAATGTCTTATTAAATCCCTCTCATTTGTACACGATAGCCATTATTCAAAGTGGGGATTTAACGTAAATTACGTTTCCCAAAAGTCAATGAGTGTTCCAAGCTTCCAAGAATATGCACAGTTATCATTACTGCGCTAGTACAGCGAGATCATCTTCGTCTATCAAAACATTGACGTCACTTCGCAACCGAATCATCCTTGACCGAGTCTAGTAGTTTGTGTTAATTAAGGTTGCAGACCAATATTGATTTTAATTTAACAGGATAATGTTTTTGCTAGAATATCGTGCTCAGATTAATCGTTCGATGATGATTGACCGAAGGGCGGTTACTCAATATTTGAAGAAATAGAGGGGAGTGACGGAAACCATGTAATTTGGATTTGCACAAGAGTTTGGTCATTGCAAGGCAGGATAGGATACGTGATGCAGTAACTGTTATTCTAACCATACTTAATGATGTACGAGTGGTTTGCAGGTCATAACTTGTTCCAAACGAACGCCGACTTCAAACAATTCGCGAGGTATGTTTTTCGTTTGCACATTTAGTGAAAGTACGTATAGTTAGCGAATCTTCTATTCATGTAATGAAATAATGCATTAGAGAAATTTGCATATTTCAACCATATAGAATGAGCTGCTCATTTGTCATGACCTTTGGTTATCAGCAACTTGGCTGTGACTTTTGTATTGTTCAGATCCATCAATGACAATAAGACCCGTCCCCTCGTCTCGTCATATGCTCATCCGCCCTCGATGGCAACGAAAACAACAAAAAGTCATCGAAGTTAGACTGTACACTTTGGAATATAATATAAAACACGCACCGTTATTCACTACACAATACCAAAAATGAAAAAATACAAGACGGACTTATTTCGGAAAAATAAGAGCTAAAAAAGTAGAAATCAAAGAGAGCCTTTTACCTGCGAAACTCCAAGATGTTCGGCTATATTGTCACTACAGTAGACGATGTCTCCTTGTTGAGAGAGCACCAGAACGAAGCCATCCAAAGCCCTCATGTATGACAGCTCTGAAGCTAGCTCTTCGAAGCCTTCGGGATTCTGAATCTTGGATTGATCCGAGTTGACATCTGGAACTGGAAAAACAAATTCATGACGTCACGATAATAAAAGTGGTCAAGAAAAAAAAAATTGCTAGGAACATAATTTTAAGGTTATCAGGTATGAATTCTGAAATTCATATGGACAATACAAATGGACAAAGACACAAGGAAGGTAAGAATTTGAAGAAAAAAGTCTTGTTTAGTGTAAAAAACAATCCCAGTTTCAACACTCGAAAAACAAAAATATGGAAGCATCTAAACAAAAGAAGAAATACCTAATTTCATACAGTTGTTTTATCGTTCGAATTCTAAAGCTTGGCTTTATGTAAAATAGGGCACAATTAAAATTTCAGAATGAGAAGATTTTTAAACGCATGGAGAATTAATTTAAGAGAACGCAAATATAAGCAGCAATTAATTTATTCAAAAATGTTGTAAATTTATTGTTTTAATCTAGTATAACATCATTTTATTTGCCATATGGACAAACAAGCTCCCAAACAGTTTGGTTTTAAGAGGTTGTGGAGAACTACAATTATTTAGAGGGATTCCTTGCATTTATACAATAACGTGCGGCAGATCACCGTTACGATGGACCGACCAAATAAAGGCAGCTCTAAACGGTCCCGTTAACGAGTGCACAAGAAGGGCCGCGGTAGGCGAGGAATGGCGACGTCTGGTGAAGCGCACCACCAGCCGAAGTGATGACCACGACCACTCTGCCAAGAGTGCATGCGACTGAGAAGAAGAATACAATAACGTGAATTTCTCGGCCCCCTTCAGGGCACAAGATAGAACCCTCAACTTGTTACGATTGATACTAGTTCGATTTTTAGCGGAGACTAATGTACCCTTTAAAAACGCCGAGCAGGAAATTTCAGATTCACGAAACTTCAGGGTATTACCCTAATGCTAAGAACATATAAGGATGAACAATATTTTGTAAAGATGATTCATAGTTTTAATTGAAAATACAATGAAATATATTCGTTTTTTCGAATGCTCTATAAGGTTAAGGTAATTTTTTATTTATTTTAATATTCAAACTCAATTTATACACGGACTATGTTTGTAGTATCTACATAAATAAAAAAACCTCCATATGTGGTAAATTATATCTGGTTAGAGAACAATTTCTGAAACAAGTGGCTACTTTTTACTGGTGGTAGGACCTCTTGTGAGTCCGCACGGGTAGGTACCACCACCCCGCCTATTTCTGCCGGGAAGCAGTAATGCGTTTCGGTTTGAAAGGTGGGGCAACCGTTGTAACTATACTGAGACTTTAGAACTTATATCTCAAGGTGGGTAGTGCATTTACGTTGTAGATGTCTATGGGCTCCAGTTACCACTTAACACCAGGTGGGCTGTGAGCTCGTCCATGAAACAAAAAAAAAAAAAAAAGTGGGATAGCAAAAGTTAACAACTTATTTGGCTGTGCCCCTGCCATTACGGATGTCTATGAGCGACGGTAACCACTCACCGTCAGCTGGGCAGTACGACCGTCTGCCTAGAAAGGCGATTCAAAAAGAAAAAAAGTGACAACAGCTGGCGATTCCTCATAAGCTAAGCGAAAACATTAGACAAATAAATGTTGCAATGCATTTACAGCATCTATGGAACAAAATTAAAAAAATAGGTATAATATCGACGCTTGAAAGGCAAACGTGACTAAGCGACAATAACTGCTTTATACATAAATGATAGGCAATAACCATATTCGATGCGCAAAAAATATATATTTCTAGGTCTATTAAAATAATTTCAATCCTACAACTACTAGCTAGATTCTACTACAGCTAGATTCGTTAAAATAAATTTTGTTTTCAGGTATTTCAACTTTAAATTAGTCTACTGTAAAATTCAAGCATTGTCGCTTAGTCACGTTTGCCTTTCAAGCGTCGATATGCTTGATCAACAACCTCTAAGGAAGAAAGAGTACATAAATGTTTGTTTTCGATTGCGTGTCGTCGAAATTTTAATTTTCCAGAAGGACAATTATTTATTCAAAGCTATGATGTGATAAGCTAGCTAAGGATACGATTTCCTTTCTTGTTTAGATCTTGACGCGGCAAATTTTAGCGTGGCATATTCATACAGACATGGACCGGTGCTGAGAGATATCTCCAGAAGAATTTTTGGTATGTATCTGTATCTGACGGCGTTGTTATATTGTTTGGAAAATATGCTTTTACCGTGTCTGCAACCTATCGTACCGGCTGAAATGAATGGTACTTTAAAAGTTAATGTATATGATGAAAACACATTTTCCTTGTTACAATAATTAAAAGGAAAACGAATTAAAAGCCACTCCGAATACATTAACGAAAGGCAGAGAACAAAATCCATCCCCATAACCGTCTAGTTGTTTACACCGTGTTGTGATGAGTTCAACATTTTGTAAACGAGACGTCGCGATGAAAGTTCATTGAACCGGACTGACCTGCATTACAGATGTAACTAATGTATTCCTGAGTGTTGAACGATTTTTATAAGTAGATGTTTATTGAGCTGTATTTTAATTGGTTTCTAAGATACATGTTATTGAAGCAAATTTTCGTGTGTAATCCGAATCAGAAAAAAATACTATGACGCTATTTATTGGTAGGGTAGTTTGCAAGACTGTACCAGCAGGAGACTGACTCACTACCCTACCTAATTCTGCCGCGAAGTACTCATGCGTTACGGTTCCGCACTTATATCTTATACTTCAAGGTGGGTGGTAGCATTCACATGGTGTTATCTAATAAGTTCCCGTAACCACTTAGCACCAGATGGGCACGTCTAAGCAACAAAACCTGTTATTTTCGGATATTTGATATTCTTATTGTATTTTGATGATAGAAAAAAAATGGGAGAAAAAGAAGATTATCAATGTCAGTACCACGCCCCCGCCATTTATGGCTGCAAAGTTAAAAATTACAAATACTCGAATCTCCATGTACCAACCACCACGCACCCTAACCTCGTGGGGAGATGATACTGCAATCCTTGGGCGTACCCAAATCAATAAGTCTGCCTATTCACAACTCTTTTGTTTCGTGCATAAAGTATAAAGCAACTAGCAATCGATTTCGAAGAGCCATACATCCCAATGCTCTTTTCAGGGTCCATCCGAATCACCTGAAATAATAAAATTGTAATAAGTGTGCAAATATTATGCAACTACCTTACGTACAATGCGGCTGTTGTTATGAGTTTTTTTTATATTGCCCTTGTAGGCAGACGAGCATGCGGCCCACCTGATGGTGAGTGCTTACCGTCGACCATGGACTTCAGCAATGCCAGGGGCAGAGCCAAGCCGCTGCCTACAAAATGAGTCGTATTTTTTGCATTATTTTTTGTTTTGTACTCAAAAAACAATACTGCGCAGTTACCTCGATTTTTCTTTGTTGTGTATAAAATTAAAAATATAAACGTGTAATATGAGTAGAAGAATAGCAAAAGTAAAAACAATTAAGCAATGATTGCCTAGAATCGAATATAGTGCATTCCAAATTCATGAATCATTATTGAAGACCACCGTTTTGCTATTGTTTACGTACTTACAGTAAGTACATACTGTACAGCCTCCCCTGTGATTCATGTATTTTCCGCAATTCTAAATCGTCCGCGAAGACGAAAATCCGTAATTTTTGGCAAACTACCTAAAGCAATTTTGAACAATGCAAAGTTACGTGTATGCACTACATTTTTATTTATTTATTGCAGTAGCAGGTGAACGACCTTCCAGTCCACCTGGTTTAAATAGGTACTGAGGCCCGTAGACATCACAAACGTGAATACAGTCATCCACCTATCAACTGCACTAATAAAAAAAATTGGCAAATTCGTTTTTTATTACGCCCCGTTATTCCTTTACCGTGGAAGTTATTTGTGGCCATATGTTAAGTACGGATTTTATTTGGAAAATTGGTACCTGCCTGCAGGATTGGAACACCGACACCGTCGCATCGTTGGATACGAGTCCATTAAGCGTTTTTTTTTTTTTTTTTATTGACTGATTACTTAATCGTGGCCTGGAGGTCTTTTCAGTTTCACCGGACAGGTGGGCGAGCACGGGCTCGGTCAGGAGGGGTGGGATTTGCTAACAGCTACCCGAGTGACTCCGAAAAAGGCCTAACAACTTAAGGACAGCTGCTTCGCGAATGTATCTACTACCAGATCGAAATCGTAACCCGCTAAAAAAATCTGGCGAAAAACTCAGCGGGCAGATTTTTTTTTGGTCCTGCCTATGGTGATAGCCTTGAGAAGCTATTTCAGCTTCGCCTTGTCGCGTAGGTGAGCTCACGGGGCTCAAGCCGGGAGTGTTGCTGACACTGGCCCTAGCAAGAGCAGTGTTTTGCAGAATTTACCACCGGATCGGAAACGCGTCCCACTGAGAAGATCCGGCGAGAAACTCAGTGGGCTGTGTCTATGGGTTAATTTACTCATCGGCTCTTTGTCGCAAGCGACGGGTTCGGCAAGGTCGGTGACCGGTTCAAAATAGGCATGTATGGGTGGGATGGTGGTACCTACCGGTGCGGGTTATCGGGCAGTTGGGCGACTGCAGTGCGTTGGTGAGAATGAGAGAATAGGTTTGGTGAATCCCTTAGTTACTTTTTACGACACCCAAGGAAAGAGAAAGCCACCCAGTGGTACAAACTTAATAAAATTCTTTCATTTATTGTCTTGTATAGATTTGAATTATTATTCATTTAGAAAGGAACAATAAGCCTAGGTCACTATAACCTTGGATTACGTAAGCTGAACTTGCATTGTCACAAAATGCCCTTTCTTTTTTTATTATCTAAAGAGAACATAATAATAAAGTTTTAACAATATATTTTTTTCTAGCTGGTTTGCTATTGGTAAAAACTTTTTGGTTTTGATTGCATATCTTTTATTTTCCTTTCAGCCTACAGCCGGCTATTGCTGGACATGGGCCTCTTCCAAGCCTCGTCACCATGACTGATCCTCATTGAGCTGCACCCAGCCGATTCCTACGAGCCTCAACAGGTCAGTCCCCTTGTCCCAAAACTATATCTATAACTAAGTGCGTCTAATATTTTGGACTATCTACACATTACTGCATTCTGATTAAGTTTACCGTTTAATCTCGGTATGTTTCGTAATACTGAATCTCATTAATTGCGAGTTCAAAACCACATCTAAATTAGGTTAGGAAGTTTCTGGAAATACCCTCAATTGTGACGTCACTAACACAAATGCTTCCAAAAAAATCAAAACCGTTTGATACTCGCTATGAAATTTAAACGTAGTGCGCTCCTAATAATGAAAAGAAAACGATAAATATCTTATCATTAGAGTCTCGATGTTACACGTTCGAAAGTATTACAGTCTGGACGGGAAATGAGAAGTTGTTTACGTCGATAAGCTAGATTTGTTTCCAACTGAACAATTCTTTGAGTGAATTATCTTTAGTAGATTTAAAGAAAAAACCGTTTTTACATCGAACTGACAAAATACGTCAAACAAGAAAATCAAACAGGCAGTTTAATGCTAGATTTTTTTTCAATTTCTATTCGGACAGAGGAGAGCTCAAGGACCTACTTGTGTTTTTTTTTTCTTTTAGGATTGAAGGATTACTGGTAGCTCGGAGGCCGTTCCAGTTTCACCAGGACAGGTGGGCGAGCAAACGCTCAGCCAGGAGGAGTGGGATTTGCTAACAGCTGCCCGAGCGCCTCCAAGGAAGACCTAACAACTCAAGACAGGTGCTTCGCTAATGAATCTACCACCGGATCGGAATCGCGACCCACTGAGAAGATCCGGCGAGAAACTCAGCAAGCTGATGCATGGGTTAGGTTGCACGTCCCACTTTTTGTCGGGTTCGACGAATACGGTTACCGGGATCCCTAAGCCTGCTAGTGTTAGAGCTGACGGCCTCTAATGCAAAGGTTATTAGATCTGATGTATCCGTAAGGACGTGTCTACTTATGTTAAACGGTCGTTAGAGCTCATTATAAATTTTAATTCGTGAGTTAATGCAATAGACAAACGATTTTTTATTATTTTACTAAAGATAAAAGTTGTGTTACCATTCACTAAGGCTTGTCATCAAGTTTTTTTATTGCCCTTCTAGGCCGTCGATCATACGGCCAATCTGATGGTGAGTGGTTACCGTCGCTTAAGGTTGGCAATGCCAGGGGCCGAGCCAAGCCGCTGCCTATCGCATAGATGAGCTTTCTCAAGTTCTCCGTTTTTCTAATATTTTTCTTTTTTTTATTGCTTAGACGGGTGAACGAGCTCACAGCCCACCTGTTGTTAAGTGGTTACTGGAGCCCAAAGACATCTAAAACGTACATTCGCCACCCACCCTGAGATATAAGTTCTAAGGTCTCAAGTATAGTTACAACAGCTGCCCCACCCTTCAAACCGAAACGCATTATTGCTTCACGGCAGAAATAGGCAGGGTGGTGGTACCTACCCGCGCGGAAACACAAGAGGTCCTGCCACCCAAAGTTTGGACAATTGAGAAATATAATTTTCTCCAAATGATATTTCTCAGTATAGTGACAACAGTGTGTATAGTTATAATAGTGACGACAACAATAATACTACTCACGCATAGAGACTACATCACGAACGCGAAGGTACGATATAGCCAGACGCATGACGGACGCTTTGTCGAGTTGCTCAACTTCCTCCTTTTTTGCGGGCAGGGCCGCCGTGAGCTCCGAAAAGATCTGCATCTCTTTGGTGCGACGGCACCGGGCCGCGACACGCGACTTCTCCTTGCGTTTCTCATTGTTCCTGTAACAAAAAAAAATTATTAGTAAATTTTAAGCGTATTTAGCATCGATAGCCTAGTTAGGCTGTATTACGTTAAGAAATGATGCTGGGGTTCAAATACTGAAGGCCGCCGGTACTAATTTCTCAGAGTTAATAGAACTTGATACACTTAATACGCGTTCTTGACCAACGTAGTATTGAAGTGTATTATGAGGCCCACGACCTCATATTTAATGGTGAAGTTCACTTTGTGATATCTGTAGGCTTCATTCAATACCCATTCAATGTTTACCCATTTACAACAGTAAAAGAACAAAGAAAACAATTATTATCTAAGTGTATCTTTATTACTTATAATATTATTATTTTTAATTTTTAAGTATGTAATTCTGTAATTAGATTTTAAGATGTAATGCAATGAAACAAATAATCAAAGTTTATATACATATTTAAGGAGCGATTAAATCTTAACATTAGTAAGCATTTAAATTTTTATAGATTTTTTTTTATTGCTTTAATTTGTGGACGAGCTCACAGCCCACCTGGTGTTAAGTGGTTACTGGGGCACATAGACATCTACAACGTAAATGCGCCACCCACCTTGAGATATAAGTTCTAAGGTCTCAGTATAGTTACAGCGGCTGCCCCATCCTTCAAACCGAAACGCATTACTGCTTCACGGCAGAAATAGGCAGGGCGGTGGTACCTACCCGCGCGGACTCACCAGAGGTCCTACCACCAGTCATTACGCAAATTATAATTTTGCGGGTTTGATTTTTAATACACGATGTTATTCCTTCACCGTGGAAGTCAATCGTGAACATTTGTTGATCCTTGTTGAAATATCCTTGGGTTTTGTCACGAGACTCATTTATGATAAATTCACAACTTTCAACCGAAAAAATAAATCATACACATATACATATAAGGCATACAGAATGTCCGAATATGTAAAATGTGTTATAGTAAAATCTTCTTTTGGAAGTTTTAAGTACAGACTAGATTACATTTAATAAATTCGATGTCACGTTATAAAACTTATTAATTATACGATAATTACAGCTTTTTTTTTCTTACACTTGTAAACGGACATGGAGTTTACTTCAAATACTTTCTGGCTATCGACGCTTTCACCCGGTAAATCATTATCGCTTGACAGATTTAAGAGAGAGTTTATTTGATTGGCTCATTGGTTAATGGCACTTATTATTTTACTAGGGAACCGGGTTCTTCTCGGTTGGCTTCAATTATTAAACGAATGGAGAGTCCAATTGTACTCCGGGAAATATGTACATAACACAGGAGAAAACTTTAGTTCGGTTCGGTTCATTTTGGGATGTTTAAATGAAGGATATATTTTCATTTTCTTAGAAACATAGTCTTCGTTTATGAAACACCTTTTTTGCCGGATCTATATGACGTTTCGAATAATGTACCTATAGCAACTTCTCACTGGTGGTAGGACCTCCCGAGTCCGCACGGGTAGGTACCACCGTCCTGCCTATTTCTGCCGTGAACCAGTAACGCGTTTCGGTTTGAAGAGTAGGGCAGCTCGTTGTAACTATACTGAGACCTTAGAACTTATATCTCAAGGTGAGTGGCGCAATTACGTTGTAGATGTCCATGGGCTCCAGTAAACGCTTAATACCAGGTGGGCTGTGAGCTTGTCCACTAATCTAAGCAATAAAGCTGGACAAAGCCAGATAGCTTCGGTTTGGAAAGTGAATAAGTGCATTTTTTTTTAAATATTAAAATGTTACCTATGTTTCATCGTATTGAGTTTATTCTTCTCCACTTTCCCCCCTATTACACCCGATAAACACATTGTGCACCAACTTCAGAACGAGTCATTAACAATCACAAATTATAACAAATTATCATAAATTAATTAGCCTACTTCATAAACGAAAAGAAGGTTCTAAACGCTGGGCTTGGACACGAGTAGGCAACGCGCCGTCCAGACTTATTATATCGACAACGATTATTACTTTGTGTATGCTATTAATTTCTCATTAGAGCATTATCTGTCTGTTCTAAATAACGTATTTACGGTGTGCGTCACGCACAAATGCATTTTAGATGGGCGAACAAGCTTACGGCCCACCAAGCGTTAAGTGGTCACGTAAGTCCACAGCTATGTAGCACTATTACTGGTGGTAGGACCTTTTGTGAGTCCGCGCGGGTAGGTACCACCACCCTGCCTATTTCTGCCGTGAAGCAGTAATGCGTTTCGGTTTGAAGGGTGGGGCAGCCGTTGTAACTTACTTGAGACCTTAGAACTTATATCTCAAGGTGGTTGGCGCATTTACGTTGTGGATGTCATGGGCTCCAGTAACCACTTAACACCAGATGGGCTGTGAGCTCGTCCACACATCTAAGCACTAAAAAAAAAACTTTGAGGCATGAGATAAAAGTCTTAATTGTATAGTATAACTTTTTTCTCTATTCAATTGGTGGTAGTCTACGGGGTTATGCTAAATACGCGCGGACGGGTAGGTGAGCTTCCGGGGCTCCACATGAGAGAGCTCCTTAACACTAACTCAAGCAGGAGCAGTGCTTCGCTGAATCTACCACCGGATCGGAGTATCGCAGATCGGATCGGTATGAGTGTTGGACCCCCTAATATTAATGACAATAAATAATTATATTAATTTTAAATTCCCAGCGAAGCGGGCGAGTACGGCTTGTCTTGAATAAAGACAATGGATGATTAATTACCATGTTTGTGTAAAATAGTAATTATGTAAAAATAACACTAACGATCGCTTACTCTGCGAAAACTTTCGGTATCTTGAAACTACACGCACGCCACCTGTCGCACGATACTATGATAAAAACCTTTCCAAAGACAACTGAGCTCAGCTTCATCAGAATCTAATGGACGGCTTAGTAACGTATATAGAACAAATATTCATTTTTATTTATTACGCAGATAAATACATAAAAGTTTAAGGTACATCGAATGACCATAGCCCTAAAGCTAGCCCTAAGCTTGTTTTTTTTTCTTCCTACCTATGCTGATAGCCTTGAGAGGCTATTTCAGTTCCACCCTAACCTGTGTAGGTGAGCTCAAACCCGAGTGTTGCTAACACTGACCCTAGCAAGAGCAGTGCTTCGCAGAATCTACCACAGGATCAGAATCGCGACCCACTGAGAAGATCCGGCGAGAACCTCACTGGGTTATGTCTATGGGTAGTATAACGATTATTCCATAATGCAAACCAGAACGCATCAATTGTGGTTCACCGTATATTTCTTGTCTATTTTTTAAAAAGCAAGTTGTATGCGCGACAACAATGCGGGCTCAAAGTATTACTACCAATACTTTTTGTTATCTGGATTTGACAGAAATACTAATGTTTCATTTTTCTAGTTCGTTCTCACGTTCTTTAAGATTGTGATTCTAATCATATTTTAAAGTATCTTTTTAATGTTTTTTTTTTCGCTGTCGAACTGTTACGGTAAATGTACACTACACTCTTGGGAAATGTACACTTTTATCGGTAAATGTGCACATTTGCCAAAAAGTTAGGTAGGTATATGTGAACTGAATATAATGTATATGTACATTTCCCGGGAAATGTGTACTCTTGCCTTCACGTTTTGGTAAATGTGTACTCTTACTTTCATGTTTTAAGAAAAGTTGGAATACAAATAAATTAATGTTGATGCAGTAAAAAAAAATAATATTTAAATAAACATACTTAATACAAAAGGCTTTAGTAACGAAAATTATTTTAATTAAAAAATGTAAATGACAAACAAAACATAATTTTCTTTGCATATTATGTAATATGTAGTAAGATAAGTTTACAGTAGTTCTGTAAAAACCTAAAGAGCTAATGTAAAAGCTGAGACCTTAGAGCTCATGTCTCAAGGAAGGTGGCAGCGTTTACGTAGTAGCGTTGTAGATGTTTATGAGCTCCGGTAACCACTGAAACTGATGGACCAAGAGCTCGTCCACCCATCTAAGCAAAAATATATTGTTTTGCCGTACACCGCTGCTGTCCGTACCTAAGTACTCCTGTCCACGTCCTTACGGATCCATCAGATCCAATAACTCTTGCATTAGATACCTTCAGCTCTAACACTAAGGAGCAGGCTGGGGAACCCCGGTAACCGTACTCGTCGAACTCGACAAAGAGGTCGACGTGCAACCTAAACCATGCATCAGCCCGCTGAGTTTCTCGCCGGATCTTCTCAGTGGGTCGCGATTCCGATCCGGTAGTAGATTCATTCGCGAAGCTGTTGCTCTTGAGTTGTTGGGTCTCCTTCGGAGGCGCTCGGGCAGTTGTTGGCAAATCCCACCCCTCCTGGCTGAGCCTTTGCTCGCCCACCTGTCCTGGTGAAAGCTGGAAAGGCCTCCGGGCCACCAGTAATCTTTCAATCATAAAAAAATAAACCTAAGTACTTTATTTTACGAACACTTTACAACGAGTTATGCCCATTTTTTTTTTATTATCAAACGTTATCTAATCGTCAATAGGTGTTGATAAAAATCAATGCGGATTTTAGAATTACCCAAAAATACGGACTGAATTACAAAACGTATACAACCCGTTTATGATTACGGAAATTTTAAAATTTCAACAATATTCAATTCAAGGCTTGAAATTATGTAGGCTCCTTGCCTATCTCTAGTATCTAAAGCTCTAATTATTAATCAATTCATAGAAAACTATATTACATACGAGTACGCCGGTGTTCGAATCTCGCAAGCAGGTATGTACTAATTTTTCTGACGAAATACATACTTAACAAAAGTTCCGCGATTGACTTCCACGCTGAAGAAATAGCATCGTGTAATAAAAATCAAAGCAGCAAAAAATATTTATGTAGTTACTGGTGTTAGGGCGTCTTGTGAGCCCACAGAGATAGGATACTACCACCCTGCCTATTTCTACCATGAAACAGTAATGCTTAGCTCAAACAGTGAGTTTCGGTTTGAAGGTTAGGGCAGCCGTTGTACTTAGAACTCATGTCTCAAGGATGTTGATGGCATTTACGTTGGTCATGTCTAT